CCAAATTCCTTTGTTTCTACTTTATTTAAAAGTTTTTTAGTTTTAGTATCTCTGGTAATTCGATTATATTGTGTATTGATTTTACTGTCTTTGCGTTCTAAACTATTATTCATGCTATCGAAATTAATCTTTTTGGACGTTTCATAGTTTAATGTAAATCCTTTAATTTTGCAAACAACTTTACCTGTATTAGTTTTATAACAATAACTTTTTGGACCTGTTGATACCCAGTCAACAATCCATACGTCCTTACCTAATTCATCGGTCCAATCTCCCAATAGACATCCTGTTTTTACAGTGTTTTTACCATTATCTATATATACAATGCTATCTGTATCATAATATATTACACTTTCTCCTAATATGTCTAACATTTCGTACAATCTTATGTAAAAGCCGCTATGAATATATTGGTATTGAAATCATTTTCTACATAGAAACCTTTATACTTGTAATCAATTTGTAACATATTTTCGTTTAATTCATTGATATTGTTACGCTTGACGGGCGTATAATAAATCGGGCGTTGGTGAAACTCAAATATTTATTTCTTTAGCTCGAATTACAACACTATCTATTGCAACGAATATGTACAGAAATTAATCCGGCGCTCTTGACTGTCTTCACTGACTGAATGAATCCATTACCTACGGTCGCCTCTATTTAAACCCATAGTCTCTGATCGAGATTCTTCACGAACATCCATCGCGACTCCGCTTCGAGACTCCCCTGGACGCCGCTTCGAGACGCTCCAGACCTGTCTTTATGCGCCCGCCTCTCGGCCGTCAACAGCGATGATTCACCCATCAGCGCCGTGCGTACGTCCAGAAGGCTCTCGACCGCCATAGGCGTCGTACTGGGGCGGCGTAAGGGTGTATTTCGTAACAATATGTATATTATCAAGTCTGTCGTCTAATAAAATCTCATAAAATCTCTTAATATCTGTAACATACTCTGTTGCGCCCATATTTTGTCTTTGACCAAATTTACCCCATAAGGAATTTAAACAGATTAATGCAACAGCTCTCTTTCCAGGATTATTTTCTATTTTCCCCAATTCAATACCTAGATTTTCTTTTACGGCTTTTCTATATTCTTCTTGATTCAAAATCATTTCTCCATTCACTTGTCTCTAACTTTATTTTCATAAATCCTTTAAACAAATAACTCGATTTTTGTTCAAAATGCCAAACTTCATCAATAGTTATTATTTTGTATCCTTTTTCAATTGCTTGTTTTACTTCGTTTGTACACCAGATTCCTCTGACAATTCTTTGAGATTCCGTATGAGTACACTTATCTTTTTGATTATTTAATTTTGCACACAATTGACATAATGGAAATGTTAGTTTTTCATCGCCAGATTTCCTTTTATTTTTAACAGGTAAAATAGGGTGATACAAACCTCTTGGTGGTAAAATTGCACATTTTATTAAACCATACCATTTTGAATTATACGTAGGAGGTTTGAATATTTTAGTAGGATGTCCAACTGGATAATCATCATAACATTGTACTGTTGGATATAAACTACAAATATCTATATATTTCATTTTCTTTCCATTAACTTTTAGTTTCGTAGCATTAGTTCTTCCTCCGAAGAACGCATTTCTAGGATTAAGTTCTTCAATTTCTTTATATTTGCTTTTAATTTGTTTCATTTCTTCTTTATATTCTTTAGATTTAATCCAATTGCATTCCCACATTTCTATTAAATTATAGCCAGCTTTTTTTATTTGCTCGCTTCTTTCTATTGTTTGTTCATAAAGATCTTCCATAGTTGTTTTATTCTTATTATTAATAAAATTTGAACTATAACATTTTGTACAACCATGCCAAAAACAACCGTGATATTGATAGACTGTATTAGATTTTTCATCAAAGCCATCAACTTTTGATCCACATATTCTCACTTCACCATCGTTTAATGCATGTTTTATATTTGGATTATGAAAACTATTCAACCAAGAAATTGATTGTTGAGAATATTGATCTTTTTTTAGATTATCAACAACTGCAATTGTATCTTTCTTAATATATTTTGATCTATATATAGCCATACAAACACCTGCAATTGTAATGTATCTAAAATGATCTATGTTAGCTATTTCTAGAAATTGTTTTCTTAATTCAAGACATTGTAGGAAAGCAGAGAAAAATGTTGTGCCTCGGTGGGATTCGAACCCACGTCTCCAAGCATTCCGGGCTGGTATGCTAACCGCTACACCACAAGACAAAACTTATCTTTACTCTGCTTTACCCGCGTGTTATTGTGCCGCCACAGTACTCCCCCCCCAGCGACACAGCGCGCGGTCGTGCTGGGGTGCGAAGGAGATAGTTGGTGGCGTCGCTCCTGCCACTCTTACGTTCGTCGTTCGAACCCTGGCGGTGCTGCGGACCCCGAACACAGCGGGCACAGGGCGGTGGCAGAAGGATGTTGCGCGTGCGTGCGTGCGTGCTGCCTGTCGGTGGTCACCAATGTAGGAAAGCAGAGAAAAATGTTGTGCCTCGGTGGGATTCGAACCCACGTCTCCAAGCATTCCGGGCTGGTATGCTAACCGCTACACCACAAGACAACTTATCTTTACTCTGCTTTACCCGCGTGTTATTGTGCCGCCACAACATCCTCTTCTTAATATATCCAAATCAATAGTTAAGCAATCAAAAGATTTAATGTTATTTTCATAATATTCCCTAAGTTTCTTATCCAATCCCTTTTCTCTAAATATTAAACTTATATCATTACCATCACAGGATGGAAATATCGAAATATAATTACATTGTAAACGAATTGATTTTGGTACTCTATACCAATCCTGCGTTATATAAATCATTGAAGCATTAATTTTTCTTCCGCGTATAGCTAAATCTATCAGTTTCTTTTGATCTTTTTCCGTTACGAAATCATCAACAACAATCAAATTTTGTTTATCTCTATCTAGTTCGTCTACATCAACAATGTCTTCTATATCTGATGAAAAGTACGATTGTCCACGAATTTTTTCATCATCAAATACATTTTGTAATAATTGATAATAAGGTTCTTCTAAATCTTTTGCATACAGATAAAAAGTATCAAAAAATAAATATTTTAAAAGATTGACAACAGTATTTGTTTTACCAGAACCACTTCGTCCTATAATTATTAATATAAAAGGCCATTTTGGCGCTAATTCATTAATGTTATAATATTCTTTTTCATCTGCTTTAATAAAATGAATAGGCAAAGAATCCATTTATTTATTTAACACAAATAATGCAAACCGTGGACACTTATAAATTGGTTTTAAATTGTATAAAATAATATAGCCCTAAACATGTAGTTTACGACTCCGAATTGAGTTTTTACCCGAAACGTCCAGATTTTTGGAAAAAAAATCAAAATTATAAAACAACATTTTGCAATTTAATTTTGAATGTGCCAACTTGAATGTTTTGAAATGTTGCAGATGTTTTAAGGCTCTAAAGGGCATCATAAATCTTTAGTCAAAATATATTTGGTTATCCCCTCCAAAAACTTGATGACGTCAGCTCAAAAGTTTGCCGAATAAATCCTATCTAAAATGTACAAAATATGATGCGTCTGTACTTGTGATATATCACTCCATTCATATTTTTTGGATTTGCATATACAGGGTGACTCAAAAAAATTAATGAATGCGCAAAATTTATTTTACTGATTTACTCAGGAACTACAAAACCGAATGCTTTGAAATCTTGAAGATGTTTTAAAATTACCATAAGCATGGTAAATTTTTTATCAAAATGTATTTGCTCTTCCCCCCTAAAAAATTGATGACGTCACTCCAAAATTTTGCTGAATAAATCCTATCTAAAATGTACAAAATATGATGAGTCTGTACTTGTGATTTATCATTCCATTCATATTTTTGGATTTTCATATACAGGTGACTCAAAAAAATTAATGAAGGCGTGAATTTATTTTATCGATTTAATCCGGAATTACAAAACCGAATGCTTTGAAATCTTGGACATATTTTAAAGTTATTATAAGCATGGTAACCTTTTGTTCAAAATGTATTTGTTCATCCCTCCTAAAAAAATTGATGACGTCACCCTTAAATTTCGCTGAATAAATCCTATCTAAAATGCAAAAAATATGATGAGTTTGTACTTGTGATTTATCATTCCATTCATATTTTTTAGATTTTCTTAAGAGGTGGCTCAAAAAAATTAATGAAGTCAATTTATTTTATTGATTAAATTAAAGGCAACACTTATTATTAGTATTACACCCCAACCAACCCAATTTGGTAGACACAAAATTTGTTAAAGGAAAAACTCGGTTGAAACATAAGGGTAGCACGCTTATTTATATCGACTTTAACATTACAGACCTGCATTTGTTTTATGCGCTCACTTGGTTCCGCGAATGTGAAATAGACATGTTTATAATCAACCAATTGTGAATTTCACCGTCAAGAATTAAAATAAAACCCAATGTTTTATATAATAAGCGGAAGTCGAAGCAATAAAACCGATGGTCGTTTTGTTTACAGTTTCTCTGTTTGACTCTCACGTATGCTGTTACGCCTGACATCTTAAATTAAGAATGTTTATACATACACGATTTTCAGTTGCCTCTGATACGTATACGTGAGTAAATTGTTTCGTTATTTTATTGATTATAACAAATCAATATTCAAAACGACCCAATTCATTTTCCCGAAAATTTGGGAATACAATAATTTTATTCTTAGCATTACACTACATCTATCCCAACTGATATACGTGTCCTTGCAAAAATGTTGATGACGTCATCGCAATTTTTTTTAAATTCCCACTACAAAAATGTAATGAGAAAAAAAACACAATAGGCATGCAGTCGTCAAGTTTCCGACAGCGAGGGAAGTACTGTCTAAACTCTTTAGACCATTTTTTTCGTACTAAAAGGGTTATAACAAGTCGAGAAAACATGAAATTTTTTTATTTTTGTAATGTTTGTGGTTAAATGTCCGTCGGGGAGTAATAAAAGTCAATTAAATTTAATAAGCTCATTTAGTCATCATGGTGGAAGCAGTACATATGACTAAGGAATCTCAGACAGGACGAGCGAGTCAGCTCAGAGTGTTTAGAATATGGCATGTGACATGGCAAACACTTACAATTAATTTTTTGTGTACAAATAACTTAATGAGATTCTAATTTTTTGGTATGATAAGTAAAAGGCAATATTCGTGCTTAGAGACACCTTATAGTAGTATCGACCGCCAACGCCGGTCTAGCCCGGCCCTGGCGACCTGATGAAGAAATGGTCGGGACAGAAACACATACCACGTAAACAATCAACATTCAACTTTGACAAATAACACATAGGATGAACCGACCTTTGCTACCTTCTCTCGAAACAGTGAATATGAACTGACAAGCCACTACATAATACACCTAGCTATTATCTACACATTTAAATATTAGAATTGTGCTAAATTACCGGTGGGATTCGGCGGACCCGTCACAACCCGACTCGAACCGAATCGGTGCGCCTGGATTCCTGGTAAGCGTTATTGGGGGGTGTAAGGCACATAATAGACTTTTTATGTCGATTTGAACTAGTCTAAAATGTACCGTCTAATGATGATGCTTTTGATTTGGTTTGATTGAACAATAATTCGATCATGAACACGAGAGGCACCTTAAGGTCCGCCGAATCCCACCCACAACATAAAAAAGTCTGTATTAACTTACAAATTTACGTTTGTTATAAGGACTATTATTATTCGACCTTTCACCTGAACTTAGTGATATGAGTAACTTTTGCTTAAAAAAAGTTACTATAACTAGGGCATATTTAAACGGTTTCCTCCTCTCTCAATTCCATTTATCAATACATAAATATAACATTTAATACTTCCAAAATAAATACTCCATTTTTCATATAATATCCGATCATGATTCTCCATATATTATATGTTATTCAGCCTTAGGTATTATTACCGTCTGGGGCCTTTCAAGCCCGTCGTGGACGCGCTTCAGAGGCCCCCAACGTACTGATTGTTCGACAGATATTATGACACTGTTTTCGATATTCTGGCAAATTGTTTCATAGCACACGAATATAACACTATAATAAATATGTATATGTAGTATGTATAAAGGAGATGTGTTAACCACTGTACGATTAACAATTAACAAAGACTCACATGGAGCTAGTCTTCTGTGTCCGTAAACTTAAACAACAAAACAACTCGTACACATAAATAAAAACAATATAGCCTCAGTTGAGAACACTCGATCACATTTATATGGAACATTAAAACCAACAAGGGGGCATGGCATATTTTGTACAATTACAGGGGGGCGGTCATCAAGCTTTACACACCGAACGAATTGTGCCAAAAGCAACTACGTCTAAAAGGAAAAATACGTAAATACACATACCGTACACCCGTGAGATCAGCAAACGAAGATTCAAGTCAAGCACTATTAATTCACGCGATTTTTCGAAAATTTTCACCACTAAATCGGACAAGATGGCGTCGTTGACAGTTATTTAAAAACTGCGCCACCACTCAATCCGTCGTCAAAAAACGATGAAAAACACACGAAAACGATAATTAACACGACGAGCATACACACTTTATTCTAATTATAATTTAATTTGCTATTATTGCAACAGTTAAATTTTTTTTTCAAAAGTTGCTATTACAACGGTGCAGGTGGCGCCACCGACGTTCGATTCAAAAATGGCGCCGCCTGTTCAATTTGGAAAAAATCGACCAAAACGTGAAAATAATAGCCGGCGTGAGTGGATTAGAGCCTCCTAATTGATTCGGAGACGCCGAAGCGTTAGCCTAATTGTGTAAATAAAAGCAAGTTCAAAGACTCCGTCGATAATGTGATTTGTTCGGAGAGGGTCAATGTTTGTGAAAACGAGCTCTAATGGAGTTTTTGAGAGTTGAAATCGTGAGATGGTCGTTGAACCTGGGGCTAGCGACCCGAAAAAACATTTTTTATTGATTTGTGTTAGACGGACGTTTTGACGTAAATTCCAGTGGCGTAACCTGTGTCGGGGAAGGCGTGGATTTAAATCTCCGGAATACTGTCTACGTACTACACTACTCAAGCGCCACCTACAATACTGCGACTAATACTGGACCCTGCCTACTCCTAATTGACAAAACTGCAGCTGCCAATTTATTGCGTGTCTTTTTGTACTCTCTTTTGGCACAACGTTCGTCGTATTGCTGGCCGCGATCTGTCAAACAATAAGCGAGAAAAGAACGACACTTGAGAAGACTTGAATACGATTAACTTGCATCCAAACACACATACAATACTGGGCATTTTGGAGACGGCAGGCATCAAAATAGGGAATACATAGTAGACGAGAACGTAAAGTGGCCGCGCACCGTCCAGCAGTAGGGGGCCGTCCTGGACCGTCGCAACAACAAAGCACAGGGACTTCCATAACATTATATACACATGACTAGTAAACTTTGCACCCCGTTTTACAATAAATAATTACTTTTTTTGTAAGTTTTGTTTTGCATGTGACGCAACTAGTAGTGACGTAAACATCTTGACTGTTTACTACTCGACATGTAATAATTTTTTTAAATTAATACAATTTTGAGGGGATGGGTTCGACTATCGTTCAGAGAAGGCGGGAGCTCGGCTCCGTTCATCGGATGTCTCGGATGTTATGCTTTGAGCCGAATATCTTGAGCATTTGTTCTTCGTAGTCGTTTATGTTGCGCTTCATCAGCTGCATGCACGGGCCCAAGAGTCGCTCGAACGCCTCCACGTCCAAGACTGAAACAAAACAAACAAATTTTACTCTACTATAATAATAACGCTGGGAAGTAATAAAGTGGGTGAGACGAGTTCATATGATTAAATAAACAGAGTTGTTATTTCCTGGACGTAAGCTAATGAAGTGTAGTAATCGAGTCCATCCGCGACTTGTCACTTTCAAGTTTTATCGACGTTTCATGATCCTTGATTGGAGTCAAATTTTGAATGTATATTAGGGATATCATTTAGGTCGTAAAACACTAACCAAAATTACGTAATAATGGGTTTTAAATAGTATAAAATAGCATAATAAATTATAAAACAACAATATTGTATTTAGCCTTTTTTCTTCTTAATATATGTATTTAGTTTTCTATTCACGACAAGCAACTGAAAACATGTTTAAAATTAAATTTAAATTTGTGGAGAAGTGTTGAGGATAAAATTGGTCATTTTAAACATGTTTTCCGCCTCTTCTTTGTGAAAAGTATGTATATTAAGAAGGGAAAAAGGAAAATCATAAGCCCCGCCCACCCACCCAATCTCAATTGTGACGAATTTTTTATTTGTCGTCACACCGAGGGGCGGAGCTTAATTGCAAAATCCTTATTTTTCTAAGAGAAATTGCGATTTTCCAATTTTTCGTCTTTCGATTTTCTAATTTCTCAATTTTCCGACTTGTTGATTTCTAAATTTTCCGAATTTTCGATTTCTCTGCTTTTGTTTTCACAATTTTACACTTCGATTTCTCGATTTTTCGATTTTTCTATTAATTTTTTCGACTTTTCGATTTCTGAATTTTTTGACTTTTCTATTTCTAAATTTTTCGACAATTCGATTTTTTTGGTTTCACGATTTTTCAATTTCTGTGTTTGGATTTTGATTTCTCGAATTTGCGTTTTCTCAATTTTTCCACTTCGATTTCTCGATTTTCAATTTTTCTGTTATTCAATTTTTCGATTTTCCGACTTTTCGTCCAGATTTTTGGAAAAAAAAAATCAAAATTATAAAACAGTTTGCAATTTAATTTTGAATCTGCAAAATCGAAACATAAATTTTAAATCAAAATATATTTACTTCTCCCCTCCAAAAAATTGATGACATCAGCTCAAAATTTTGCCGACTAAATCCTATCTAATTGTACAAAATATGATGAGTCTGTCCTTGGAATTGATCATTCCATTCATATTTTTTGTTTTTTGCATATACAGGGTGACTCAAAAAAATTAGTAAATGCGTGAATTTATTTTATTGATTAAATCAAGAATTGAAAAACTGAATACTTTCAAATCTTGCACAAGTTTTGAAAAATGAGAAAAATCGAGAAACGTTATAGAATTGAAAAATTGAACAACAAAATTTAAAAATGGAAAAATTGATAAATCGAGAAATCCAATAATTCGAAAAATAGAAAACTTAAAAACAGAAAAAATGAAAAATCAAAAACCTGACAAATCGAAAAATTCAAGAACTGAAAAACTGAAAAATCGAAAAAAATGGCGAAATCGAAAATTTGGAAATTAAGAAAGATACAAATTAAAAAATTAAAAAATCATGAAACTGCAATAATGGAATTGAGAATTCGAAAATGAAAAAATCGAGAAATCGAAAATTTTAAGAATCGAGAAATTGGAGAATCGAAAGATTGAAAAAAAAAAACCGGAGAACCTTAAAACTGAAAACCTGAATAAGCGAAACATTGAAAAGTCGAGAAATCGATTACTTAAGAAATTGAGAAATCGAAAATTTGGAATTTTTACAAAGGTACAAATTGAAAACTTGAAATAACGAAAAATTTAAAAACCGAAAAACTGAAGACTTCGAAAATTGAAAAATCATAAAACCACAATAATTGAAAATTCAGAATTCGAAAAATGAAAAAATCGAGAAATCGAAAATTTTAAGAATGGAGAAATTTAGAAATCGAAAAATCGAAAGACCGAAAAATTCAAACATCTAAAAACTGAAATGTAAATTCTAAAATTCAACAGTTCGAAAAATAAAAAATAAAAAAAAAAATAAATAAAAAATTGAAAAACTGGAAAATCGAGAATTCGAAACATCAAAGAATCGACAAATTGAACAACAAAATTTAAAAATGGAAAGATCGAAAACTTAAAAAACGAAAAAATTAAAAAACCAAAAACCTGAAAATCTGAAAAATTCAAGAGCTGCAAAACTGAAAAATCCAAAATTTGAAAATTTAGAACGGCAAAAATTGACAAATTGATACATCGAAAAATTTAAAAACCGAAAAATTAAAGAAGAGTCGAAAATGGAAAATTGAGAATTCGAAAAATGAAAAAATCGAGAAATCTAAAATTTTAAGAATTGAGAAATTGGAGAATGGAAAAATTGGAAACTTAAAAAACGGAACAATTAAAAAATCAAAAACCTGAAAATTGAAAAATTCAAGAACTGAAAAACTGAAAAATCGAAACTTAAGATTACTTAAGAAATTGAGAAATCGAAAATTTGAAAATTTAGAAAGGTGAAAATTGAAAAACAAACATCGAATTTAAAAACCGAAAAATTAAAGAAGAGTCGAAAAATTGTAAAATCATAAAACTGCAACAATGGAAAATTGAAAATTCGAAAAATGAAAAAAATCGAGAAATCCAAAGTTGAAAAGTCGACAGATTATTTACAAATTTTACTATAATAAAAATACATGTTTCCAATGATTATTAAAAATTGAAAAATTAAAAAATCTCGAAAAACTGAAAATCGAGACATCAGAACATCAAAAATCGAAAAATTGAAAAATTCAAAAACTGAAAAATTGAAACATTGAAAAATCGAGAAATCGATTGCTTAAGAAATGGTGAAATCGAAAAAGAATCGAGAAATTTAGAATTCGAAAAATCGAGAGATCCAGAAATTGAAACATCCAAAAACTGAAATAAAAATTCTAAAACTAAGAAGTTCGAAAAATTAAAAAATAAAAATATCGAGGAAATGAAAAATCGAAAAAACGAGAAATAGAAAAATTTTAAAACTCGAAAAACATCAAAGGATCGAAAAATTGGACAACAAAATTTAAAAATGGAAAAATTGATAAATTGAGAAATCGAAAAGTCAAAAACCCAAAAAACGGAAACATTATAAAGTCAAAACCCTGAAAAACTGAAAAGTCGAGAAATGGCTTACTTAAGAAATTGAGAAATCGAAAATTTGAAAATTTAGAAAGGTAAAAATTGGAAAATTGAAACTTCGAAAAATTTAAAAACCGAAAAATTAAAGAGTCGAAAAATTGAAAAATCATAAAACTGCAAAATTCGAAAAATGAAAAAATCGGGAAATGGAAAATTTTAAGAATCGAAAGATTGAAAAAAAACCCTGGAAAATCCTAAAACTGAAATACCAAAAACTTTAATACAAACTTGAAAAGTCGAGAGATTATTAACAAATTTTACTATAATAAAAATACGACATATTTCCAATAATGATTAAAAATTGAAAAATTAAAAAATATCGAAAAACTGAAAAATGCAGAAATCGGAACATCAAAACTCGAAAATTGAACAACATTTAAAAATGGAAAAAATGATAAATCGAGAAATCAAAAAGTCGACAAATAGAAAACTTACAAAACAGAAAAAATGAAAAGGAAAAACCTGAAAAATTGAAAAATTGGAAAATCGGGAAATCGATTGCGTAAGAAATGGCGAAATCGAAAAAGAATCGAGAAATTTAGAAATCGAAAAATCGCGAGACCCAGAAATTGAAACATCCAAAAACTGAAATGAAAATTCTAAAACTAAGAAGTTCGAAAAATTAAAAAATAAAAATATCAAGGAAATGAAAAATCGAAAAAACGAGAAATAGAACAAGAATCGAAAAATTGCACAGCAAAATTTAAAAATGGAAAAATAAAAAATCAAAAACCTGAAAAACTGAAAAATTCAAGAACTGAAAAACTGAAAAATCGAAAATTTAAAGAGTCGAAAAATTGAAAATTCATAAAACTGCAAAATTCGAAAAATGAAAAAATCGAGAAATCGAAAATTTTAAGAATCGAGAAATTGTAGACAAAAAAAAAACTGGAAGATCCTAAAACTGCAATACCAAAAACTGAGAAATCGAAAGTTGAAAAAAGGAGAGATTATTTACAAATTTTACCATAATAAAAATACAACATGTTTTCAATGAATTATATTTAAATCTAGATAATCTAGAAAAGTTTTTCATGATTTTGATTAAAAATTGAAAAATTAAAAGATCGAAAAACTGAGAAATCGAGAAATTGAACCATCAAAAATCGAAAAATTGAACAACAAAATTTAAAAATGGAAAAATTGATATCTCGGGAAATCCAATAATTCGAAAAATAGAAAACTTAAAAAGCAGAAAAAAATGAAAAATCAAAAACCTGACAAATCGAAAAATTCAAGAACTGAAAAATCGAAAAAAATGGCGAAATCGAAAATTTGGAAATTTAGAAAACTAAAAAATCATAAAACTGCAATAATGGAATTGGGAATTCGAAAAATGAAAAAAATCGAGAAATCGAAAATTTTAAGAATCGAGAAATTGGAGAATCGAAAGATTGAAAAAAAAACCGGAGAACCTTAAAACTGAAAACCTGAATAAGCGAAACATTGAAAAGTCGAGAAATCGATTACTTAAGAAATTGATAAATCGAAAATTTGGAATTTTTACAAGTACAAATTGAAAAATTGAAAAAATCGAGAAATCGAAAATTTTAAGAATGGAGAAATTTAGAAATCGAAAAATCGAAAGACCTAAAAATTCAAACATCTAAAAACTGAAATGTAAATTCTAAAACTCAACAGTTCGAAAAATAAAAAATAAAAAAAAATAAATAAAAAATTGAAACATCAAAGAATCGGCAAATTGAACAACAAAATTTAAAAATGGAAAGATCGAAAACTTAAAAAACTAAAAAATTAAAAAACCAAAAACCTGAAAATCTGAAAAATTCAAGAGCTGCAAAACTGAAAAATCCAAAATTTGAAAATTTAGAACGGCAAAAATTGACAAATTGATACATCGAA